GGGGGGAGGGGTGGGGAGGTGGGGTGGACACCGGGGGGGGGGCATTCCTGATTCACTTATCTGCTCATTCCTCTCGTTACTCTCTTCATTCATCAGTGACATGTCTGTCTGCAGTGGCCACAGCTAGCTGTCGGTCGCCTCACAAACCTCTCTCCACTCTCTCCAACGATCCAAAGACAGGAGGACCGAGCAACGTCCGTGTACCATCCATGGACCTATAGATCTGTATCTCCCTCCTCATATCGTCCCATTTGCACACGCATCAGAGCTTAGCTTAGCGTCGCTTTGCACACCGCCCGCCACGCACCAGACACACCGCAGTGACACTCGTGCACGTCGTCTCCACCAGCTTGCCGCCCTCGATCCGGATGAATGGACAATACAAAGGCCCGGTGGCACCTCCACCACCTCCAGGCGGTGGTCTGCCAGGTACAGCACTCTTACTGGTCCCTCACGAACGAGTTGCCCGGTGAGTCCGCCCCATACACAATCTCGTCCCAGCTCTGCACACAACACAAAATCAACACGACACACGACACAGAGAATGCACAACACATACGCATCCGCGTCGCATACCGACCTGCCCGGCGCGTCGGTACTGGTAGCCAGCCGCAAGGAAGGAGGGACACGGTCGATAGACCTTGATGGGCCACCACGAGAACAGGGGAATAGCCCCGATGCCGCCCTGGATGCGGCCTTGGCCATCGCACCCACGGGCCAACCTGCACACGCATGGCATGACCACACACAGACGCGAACAGGTCGACCTGGCCATGCCATGCGGTGCCCTCCCTCCCTCCCTCCCTTTTGGAATGAATCACTCACTGACCCCTTTCCGTCGCATCTTGGAAAGTTGGGGCATGGCGCAGGGGGAGGGGATGGGCTGGCCTCAGTAGCCGTCGCTGTCACAGACGGAACGGAGGACGGAACAGCTGGGGACTCTGTTTGTTTTGATGAAGACAAAGAGAGAGGAATCGCATATGATACGTACAAGCAATGTTTTCACCTGCCTGCACCATGCTCATCTCAATAAATGACATCTCTCTCATCTCACTCACCTGCGGCAGCAACAGTCATTTTCTCCGGCTCTTCGGCCGCCATCCTTCGCGACCACCGCCTCCTTGCCATGCTGCTCCTCTCACCATGCAGTGCGCTCGAAGGCCGCCCTGCAGGCGTCCACACGAAAGCGCTTACGACGTGCAAGACAAGCGCGAAAGACAGCAGGGACAAAAGAAAGGGAAATGGGGCATGGCGCCTTCTGGATCTCGCATCTGCCGATAATGCAGGGCTGCCAGAGGGACAGATGGTGGTCGTCATGGACCTGAACGCTGCACAGATCCTCCCTTCTACTTCGCATCAGCAGTTTCGGGCGCGAGCTACTCCGTGAAACCGATGAGTGGACGCGCTCGAGGCGTCATTCGATATCGAACAACCGAAGAAGCACAACGATCGATGACGCCGACATTCATTTCGCTGTCGGCTTAAGCGGCTCAGCCTGCATTTCCCTATGACGGGTGCCACCGCTGACTGACTCATTCGACTGATGGATCTGCCTCTGCTGATAACCGGCGGGTACGACCACACCCTTCGCTACTGGAATGCCCACCTGGGTCAGTGTTTCCGCACCATCCCCTACAATGACTCACACATCAACTGCCTGGAGGTCACCCCGGACAAGACCCAGGTGCTCTGCGCCGGCAACCCCCTCATGAAGCTCTTCGACCTTTCCTCCGCCAGCAACACGGCCGTCAGCACCATGGACGGACACACCAGCAACGTTACGAGCGTCGGGTTCGAGAAGACCGGCCGCTGGTTCTTCTCGTCCAGCGAGGACAGCAGCGTCAAGATCTGGGACTGCCGCGGCACCGGCTACCAGCTCTCGCTCGACAACGAGAGCACCTCCACGGCCACCATGGCCACCACGGCCAGCGCGCCGGTGCCTGTCCACGGGGCGGCGCTGCATGCCAACCAAGCAGAGGTGCTGCTGGGCGACCAGGAGGGCCGCGTGCAGGTCTGGGACCTCAGT